CAGAGTCAACAGTTCTCAGCTAGTTAGACCGATGGCCTGGCTTCGTACAAGGCAGCTTCATAAGTTTACGCATAACACTCTCTCTCTCTCTCTCTCTCTCCCCCCCTCCTTAGCCAGATTCATGCGCCACCTTCACCTGAGGCAGGGTACTGCAGTGATGTTACTCCGTGGGAGCTTCCCTTTTCAAACGAAAATGCAATTGAGATTTAGCCTGATTGCGTGGGAAGGGCTTCATAGATAGAGACGTCTCCCACATCACATCATTTATTTTGAATCTCTGAATGGGAAGCGCTTCACATCACATCATTTATTTTGAATCTCTGGCCTCAGAATGTAAAACTTAGACATCTAGACCCCTTTATTACATCACGGAGCTTGGGCAGGCAGGGTATAGCCCCCCTCTCCCTCCTGCCCACCCCAATACTAATCCCTGCCCATTTTGATTCCCTGTCCTGCAGGCTTACTTGGGATCGATGGGGCACGCCGACCTGTACGCTTCTCTGGTGATCCAGCCAAACAGCGCAGTGAGTGGAGACCTACTCTTCGACCAGTCCAAGAAGCATTTGTATGTCATGACTCAGTCAATGGTGAGAGCCTCTGGCTTTAGGGCACTGAACTTGGGGGCGCAGGGAAAGCAAATGACTCTCCTTGGGGAGAGTGCTTGGCTGTCTGTCAGCTGCAGATGGCAGCTCTGGAGCTCCAGAGGTCAAAGGGCTGGGTAGACCTGTAAAGAGAAACACCCCCCCCACACACACACACACACATGCTCCAGTCCCTACAGGAGCTCACCCTTTTCTGGGTGTCTGCAGCCCAGACAAAGTACACAAATTAAGTAAAGTCTTGTGATTGAGCACGTGGGCATAAAATAGCATTGGCCGAGGCAGTTGACCATCTAGCTCAGCATCGTGTCCTTTGAACATGCAACTTTAAATTTGCGGGGAGAGTCATTGACAAACGGCATAATGGTGGTGTTCACCCCACGTTGCATGTCCCCATCTGGGAGCTGGAGGGGAACACTGTCATTGGCCAGCCATTTGATGGTGTGAGAAGGCTCCTCCCCTCATTCCACCTGGCCCCTCCCTCTCAGACTCTACCACCAACCAGCTATTCTGCAGGACAGAAGAAGAAGAAGAGATTGGATTTATACCCCGCCCTTCACTTGGAGTCTCAGAGCGGCTTACAAACTGCTTTCCCTTCCCCTCCCCACAACAGACACCCTGTGAGGTGGGTGGGGCTGAGAGAACTCTGACACAAACTGCTCTTTTTCAAGGACAGCTGTGCCAGAGCTTGTGACTGACCCAAGGTCACATCAGCAGGTGCAAGTGGAGGAGTGGTGAATCAAACCCGGTTCTCCCAGATTAGAGTCCACACACTTAACCACTACACCAAACTGGACAGGGAGGGAGAAGATAACAAAGGCCCTTTCTGTTGGCTCTCACCAAGTTATGCCTCTGAGCCACCTTGAGTTTTGAAGGTGACAAGGTGGGAGAGAAATCTATAAGTGAACAAGGCTGCTGTCCTAAGGACACTTCCCTGCGAGTAAGCCGCCATTGAATACCGTAAGCCTAACGTCTGAATAAATCTGCTTAGGCTTGCTCCCTATGGGTTGGGTCCAGCACAAAATTTCCACTATCATGCAAGCGGAAATTCAAGAAAATGACTGGTAGCCGCTTGCACCCACTCCAGCTTATTGTATCCCCCACTTGCGTTTCTGCAAGAGCGTGAGCAGCCAATTTCTGGGCACTGTAATATATAGGGAGGCGAGCATTATGTGCTGCAAGATGCTAAGTCTATTTATGTTTCTCCTGACACACTGTTGGATCCAAGCCGATATCTCTGAAAACCAAGATTGCTTTCTTTGATTAGCCAGCAGCCACCCATCCTCCATAAACTTGGTGAAAAGGCCATTTAGGACAGCGATCGTTGAAAGACCATCACTGTTCATAATGTCTACAGTCTTCTTTTCATTGCCACCATTTCAAAGACCTGTCTCAGCAGAGGTAGTTGTGGAATGAAAGAAATCTGTAGGCACGTCTTGAGGAAATGAAGCCTCGCTCCAGTCACTTCTCAGTTTTCCAGAATGTTATTGTGTGCCTCTGGCCAAAGGGTGTTTTGTCAAATGATATCGAGAGCCTTAATATCCTGTGCTTCCAAAAAATGAAATGCTGGATTTCAAAATCTGTGTTTCTTTTGCTTTCTGTATTGAGCCAAAAAACACAAGTGGTGTCCTCCTAAATCAGACCAGTGGTCCATCCAGTCCACCATCCTGTCTCACACAGTGGACAGCCAGTTGCCCTTTAGGGTAAATAAGCAGGCATAGAGGCCCAGGTCTTCCACTGATGTTGCCCCATACCTCTGCGATTCAGAGGTTGATTTCCTCTTGTTGTGGAGTTTCCCTTTAGTCATCATGGCTAGTAGCCTTTGATAGACTTGTTCTCCATAATTATTTCTAATACCTTTTCAAGTCACGCATGCTAGTACCTATCACTGTGGCATTAAATTCCATAATTCACTTGTTGCATGAAGAAGTACTCTCTTTTTCGCTTTAACAATATTCAGAAGTGACCGAGTGAGGGCCAAAAGGCCCTTCTTAGCATCAAAATGCCTGAAAGTTATCATCTTATGTAGATTTGGTTGTGAGTAACCTCACTAGGAGCTCTGTGGGATCTTCTTCAGCGCAACATTGATACGATCAGGGTCCATGGTGGAAGGAAAGCTGTTTGGCGAATCTGAAAACAATCAGGTTATATTAAGAAGCAGCGGTTCCTCTGACAAATGAACTTTAAAAGTAATTCCCAAGGAAGAGTCTGTGAAGGTTGGGTTTAAAAGCTGATGGCAAAAAATTGAGTTCAGCCAAACCATATAAATAATACAGCCATCCAGAGAAAACTTGGAATTGCTGAAATCCTTGTGATCTTGTAGTTTGTTTTTTTAAGAGTCCAACCAAGTTTTGAGTTAAGAGAGATTTCTCTGTCAGCACTCTGTGAAGTACAGAGAAAGATACTCGAATGCTGCTAGAACACCATGATCTTCTATGAACCTTAGGGGCAGAGTAGCATAGAAATCCATACCAATAACTAAAGAAACAAAGCTTAGGGCAGTAGTGTTAATTGTCTGACAGGGATCTTGAACATAGGAACACCCTTGAGTAATGGAAAAGGAAGAGGCTTCTTTTAATTTCACAGTTGTAAAGTGGGGATGGGACAGGGTTGAGAGACTCTTTTCCGCACTTCCATTTAATTTATTTTATCGAGTTTGATCTCCTAACCTTCCACTCCCCAAGGCCCTTGGGGGCAGGTAGCGATATCTCAGCGTCACAAAGCCTGCAGGGTAGTCATTAATATACAAAACACTCTGGGCTGCTGTAGATTGACACGTGCGCTGGCACCATGCAAGTGAAGTATGGCTTCCATGCATGCTCAAAGCACTGTGGACTCAAGTGCTTTTTTGGAGAGTTTTTTTTTTTAATAAATTCATTCTCTTCGAATGTGCAATCATGTTTTATGAGCTTTCCGACCGGTTTCCACCCATGTGCCCACCCCCCCCCCCCAAGCCGTTGGGGAATCTCAGTCCTTGAGAGGCTCCGCTGGCTGTTTTCAGCGCCAGCCCCCTCCCCCCCCATGTAGGCATCACCCTACTGATGCTCTCTTCCTCCCCATTCTGCTGTCGGAAGAGGCAGCTGGAAATGCACACAGTCGGGTATCTCTAATGACATAAATGCTGCACCCAGCAAAGCTGAATGCTGTGCCCTCGATATTTTAAGCCACCTATGTGCATCTTTTGCTGACTTTGAATCATTTACAGGGATTTATTTGTGCCCCTCTAACGTCACATGTTCACCCGTGAGGGTCTGAACTGGCTGGGAATGAGATCTTGGGGTTCCTTAGTGGGCAGCGGGGGTAAAAAACCAAAAACAAAACATCCGGTATTATAATGGCTTGGGTGTGGCCACATCTGGAATACCATGCAGCGTTGCGGTCTCCCCACCTCTGAAAGGATATCATGGAGCTGGAAAAGAGGCAGGAGGGGGCAGACCAAAACGATCGAGAGGTAGGGACACCTGCCTTACGAGGAAAGGCTAAAGAATCCAGGTCTTGTTGGTTTTAAAGCAAGGGGATGGGCTGGGGATGGTGGTGGTATCGATCCCAGGGGGTTATATAGTCATAGTTAAGAGACCATTCTCTCCCTCCCAACACTAGTATCCCTGACCTGGACAGTCCAGGCTAGCCCAGTCTTGTCGGCTCTCAGAAGTTAAGCAGAGTTGCCTCTGGCTAGTATTTGTATGGGAGACCACCAGTGCTCCCTCTAAGCTGCGGAGTCTCGTGAGCAAAAATTCTGCTCTGTGAGCTACTGGCATTAATGTGGTGAGCAAGCGATTTGGCTTCTGCATAAATTAGTTTGCTCTGGATCCCTCCTTCCTGAGCGAAGACAAAAATGCATGTGCCGGAGGCTAAAAAAAACGTGGATTAGCTCACACTAACTCAGCTTAGAGGGAACACTGGAGACCACCAAGGAATACCAGAGTTGTGACGCAGGGGCAGGCAGTGTCAACCCGTAAGTCAGCTGTGACGTGATGGCACTTTCCACCACCACCAAGACACTAATATTTAGGGGCATCCAATAAAGTTGCTCTGTAGTAGCCTCAGGATGTCATATATGTTCCTGTTAAATCGTATGTTTTTTATCTAGTTCTCATAACCGTTGTAGAGTTCAGCAGCTGGTCAGGGGAAGTATAGGGCTGCCTTTAATCCTGGTAGTTCATTAGTGCAGCGGAAGCAATAGTAGATTTATCGCTCTTTCAATCTCGAGGGAGTGCCAAGCTTTAACTTTGCTTTGAGAAATTAATGAGTGTTTTCCAGGTGTGTTCCAAGTGCACCTGTTTGCTGATCTTTATAATCACTTTTGGGGGGCAGTCATTTTGTTCAGAGGACAATCAAACGCTAAAGTTAGAAAGATTTATTTCCGTACCTGTCGCCTTCTCTATGAAAAGTGTCACACAAAAGTGCCCAATCGGGCTTCTGCTGGTGGCTTCCAGTTAGAGGTTTTAGGTGAGGTATCTTTCTCGCTCTGTTTGTGTGAGGTTTCAGAACTGTCCAGAGCATTCTGCCAGTCAACTAAAACCCGATTTGCCTTAAACTTCATGTATTTAGCTAAGTGTGAGAAATGTTAGGAGATTTGATTTTTATTGCATGTATTTTTTTCCTGTAATTAGCATCTGCATATGTCTGTCAGGTTCTTGCCTCATAAAAGGAGTTATGTCTTGTTTCAAATAGTCGTTAACTCAAAGAAATTCTCCTCTTGTTTTGGTGATTAAAGATCAAACGCCTAACCCCCTCCTATTTCATTGTGCTATAAAGGAGAAGTTGGTCTCAGAGAGGCTATCTTAAGTAGATCCGATAAGGAGTCTTCCGCGGTTCTTAATGAGGAAAATTCTCACAGAGCTGAGTGGGGCAGACACTTAAGTTGGATACAAATTTGATAATTTGTCTGGAGGACGGATGAAAGAAGTTACTTCTTTATGTAGTGCATTAACTTTTGGAACTTACTGCCATAAGAAGTCATGATGGGCAGTTGCAAAGACAGTTGGACACACTGATGAAGGAGATGGCCACCTGTAGCTGTTAGCCATGATGTTCAGGTGCTTGGGGGGGGACCAGAAGCAGGGTTTAGTTTTGTCCTTTATCCCTTTGCTGTTTGACTGTGGGCTCTGAGCATCTGGTTAGTCACTGATCCAGCAGAGCCGTTCTTATGATGTTCTTCTTGAGAGCCAGTTAGGTGTAGTGGTTAAGAGTGGCAGGACTCTAATCTGGAGGACTGGGTTTGATTCCCCACTCCTCCTCCACACGCAGCCAGCTGGGTGACCTCGGGTCAGTCACAGTTCTCTCAGAGCTCTCTCAGCCCCACCTACCTCACAAGGTGCCTGTGGTGGGGAGAGGAAGGGAAGGCGATTGTAAGCCGCTCTGAGGCCCCTTTGTGTAGTGTAGAGCGGGATATAAAAACCTCTTCCTCCCCCCCCCCCCAGTCAGTAAGCAGTTGGGTTTCTCAGATGCCAACGGACAATCTGCTTTGCCTTTCTTCCAGGTGACCAAGATTCCCATATTCGAATGCTCCCAGTACACTGACTGTGAATCATGTTTAGCACTGAGGGATCCATACTGTGGCTGGTGTGCTCTCCAAGGAAGGTGAGATTTTGGTTTTTCCACGATGTGTCTCCCGATGGACATCAGCAGTGGCTGGCGGCCCTGAAGTTTGGCATAGGAACAATATGCACTCAGAGTCTGAAGGTTCTTCTCCTGCACAGAGGATGGGGGTCCTATGAATGAGGTCTGGTGGAAGAGCCCAGGGAGAATGATTGGCTTGTGCTTGGGGCGTTGCCGCTTAACACCCCCCTTCAGAGAGAGCAAAAGGTGACTGTGGCAGCACATCACTAGGATCCCTCGGAAGCTCCTGAAGAGCAGTACCTGCTGTCCCCAAACACAGGCACGTGCCAAATGCCGTACTCGCATAGTAGGAGCCTCTTTGACCTCTCAGTGGCGTGGCAGAGAGATGAATGAGTGTGCCCGTGGATGTACCCAAGGATGTTTTCCTCAAAACACATTCATTCTGGGATTTTATGAGTCGGCATCTTGATTTCTTTTTCTTTTTGAAATTTTTGTTTCATCAGAGAAACAAGATGCAATACAGGGTTCAAAGAGTCAAAACATATAGCGTACAGTACTTGAGTTATAATAAAGAGAACTTTTAAATCTGTATTTTTGTACAACAATACTCTAATTCCATAACGTCTTAATACTGTTTTTGTCCTATGCTTATTGCCTCCCTTACTTGCAGGGCTTTTTTTGTAGAAAAAGCCCAGAAGGACCTCATTAGCATAATAGGCCACA